GCCCCCTTGACCTGTCCGTCCTCCCTGGACTGACCTATCCCCTTCCTAACTCCCCACCTACACTCACCTTTACTGGCTCCATCCCCGCCTCTTCGACCTGTTTGTTTCATCTCCACCTATCTTCTCCTTTATCCATCTTCTATCCACCTCCCACTCTCTCCCTATTTATTTCAGAACCCCCTTCCCCTCCCCCTTTTCTGATGAAGGGTCTAGGCCCGAAACGTCAGCCTCTCTGCTCCTATGATGCTGCTTGGCCTGCTGTGTTCATCCAGCCCTGCACCTTGTTGTCTGGTTTTCTTCAGGCATTAGGTTTTGTTCTTAACTCGAGACCAAGACAGCTTCAAGAGATCCAGAAGACTTCTGACTATCGCATTCACACCCAAAAAAATGTTCAGCCACCTGCGAAGTCAATCACATAGTTATTGTCAGACAAAGGGTCTTTGTCATCACCAGTCCACAGACCAATCAGTTACTTACTGTTGACTGAATCTCCAGTTCATCTGCAACTAAACTTCCCCCACTTGTTAAACAAATAACAATGTAAACAGCACTTAAAATGTAGCAAGTGCAGCAATCCCTTCCACATTCCTTGGCTTTTAAAATTGTCCTTTTCCTATTTCATGCCTAATCAAAAATAGCATTTTGGTCAACCATACCTATCTGTCTTCTACGCTTCTGTTAATTAACCTGCTGTACGTCACCCCTCATTCTCAACTCCAAAATGGTCCCCTTTCCTGCCAATGAGTCTCCAAATGAAATGTATTTCATGTTTTGATAAACTATTTGACAGGGGTCAGGGGATTTTTTCTCTTGAGAATCCTTGGCTAATCCTGACCCTGTTTTTGTTATTTAAATAGTTATTTAAAGCTATGCCAAGTCCTTCTTTTCAGTCCTAACACACAGAATTGAGCTAGTTCTTCCTTCATAATTTCTCCCTTAGACTTGATTAGTTAATTCAGTAGAAACCAAAGATGAATCAGCAGCCCACTTCATTTTACATTGGTAACATTCTTTCTTTATTGGTCAGTGCATTGAGTATAGGAGTTGGGAGGTCATATTGCGGCTGTACAAGACATTGGTTCGGCCACTTTTGGAGTATTGCGTGCAATTCTAGTCTCCCTTCCATAGGAAGGGTTCAGAAAAGATTTACAAGGATGTTGCCAGGGTTGGAGGGTTTGTACGATAGGGAGAGGTTGAATAGGCTGGAGCTATTTTCCCTGGAGTGTCGGAGGCTGAGGGGTGACCTTTATAGAGGTTTATAAAATCATGAGGGGCATGGATAGGATGAAGAGGCAAAGTCTTTTCCCCAGGGTTTGGGAGTCCAGAACTAAAGGGAATAAGTTTAAGGTGAGAGGGGAAAGATATGAAAGGGGCCTAAGGAGCAATTTTTTCACCCAGAGTGAGGTACGTTTATGCAAAGAGCTGCCAGAGGAAGTGGTGAAGGCATCTGGATGGGTATATGAATAGGCAGGATTTAGAGGGATATGGGCCAAATGCTGGCAAATGGGATTCGATTTATATAAGACAAGTGGTCGGCATGGACAAGTTGGCCCGAAGAGTGTGTTTCTGTGCTGTATATCTCAATGACTCTATTTGAATGCAGTTACCCTTAAACCAGACTAGGTCATGTTACCATTTCAAATCATAGCATAAGGCAGATAGGGATGGTACACAATGCATATTATGGCTCTGCATGACATGATACAAAGGGCACTTTGGTGTTAACCTTCAAACTGTACTTATTCTTTTAAACAGGCTTACAGAAAAGGATAGTACAGATCTGGAACTACCTTCCCCATGCTTAGTTGTTTGATGTTTTCTGAAACCAGTTGTGTTTCTTGGCTAAAGAAATTAAGGAATAAAGAACAAAGACACTAAAATGGAAGTGAAATTTTTAAAAAAAGTAGCTGTGATCTAACTGAGTGGTGAAACAGGCTCAAGGAATTTAATAGACTGTACTGTGACAGTGAAAATTAACATTATTTTTCCAAGTTTAGCTCCTTGCAAATGTGTAAATCAGTTTGATCTTTCCTCAGCTATTGGATCTGATGGTATGTGTTGTCAGAGCAGGGAAGTAAAAGAATGGCATGGATGCAGGTCCACAAAGGGAGTGAACAAGGGTAAGTGTTGTAAATTTAGACATTATTGAACCCAAATTCTATAACTAAAACTGCTGAAGTGCTCCAGTTTTGAATGTTGAGTGCAGCCTCAACATTTGTTTCTTTAAAGAAATGTTTGCTTCAATTAAGTTGGTTCATTTAAAAAAAACCTTAGTACAACTTCCGAAAAACAACCTTTTTCCAATGTTGTTCAGCTGGGGACTATTGGATTGGACTAGGGTGGGCAAGGTCAGAAATCACACAGTTATAGTCCAACAGGTTTATTTGAACACAAGTTTTCAGAGCCTGAAGAAGGAGTGAGGCTTCGAAAATTTGTGTTTCCACGTAAACCCATTGGACTATAACCTGGTGTCGTGTGATTTATGACATTGTTTGGTAAAATTTATAGTGATGGAAGAGATTCAGTAATTTGGTCATTCATGTGGAGTTGTATTGAATTGTATAAGCTCTAATGTAGCGCCATATTTTAAATGTACAGAAAGCTGGCACTGATCAATGAAATAGTTGTGCAGCAAGTAGCTACACTGCTAATACTTGAGAACGTATTTGAGGATTACCTACATTTATAATGAATGCTTAACAACATGGGTCAAATCAGAATCTCAAAAAGGTCATTACCTGGCCTATGTGTTTCTAGCATTTTCTGGTTTTTTTTTTTGTGACTTCTGAAATTCACTGTTTTGTCTATTATGCTTTGTAATTTTCCCTGTGAAAACTTATGAATTCTTTACCAGCTCGTGTTAATTAAGAGATTTAAATTTTCCATTAGTAAAAGCTTTTATTAATTTTCAATTGAGGTTTGAAATGTAATTGAACAGTGTTTCTGGATGTTGACATTTGTCTTATTCTCTTTACAAATAGGCAAATATTACTATGAAGTACATTGCCATGACCAAGGCTTGTGTAGAATTGGTTGGTCTACCTCACAGGCAGCGCTTGATTTGGGTAAGATAATTGACCTGAATATCTTTTCCTGGGCTTGCATCAGGACTAAATTGATTGTCTTTGACGGTTATTGCTGAACTGCTAAATAAGAAGTGCATGTCCATGTTTTAGAATGTTCCGTTTTATCCACGTAAAATTCTGTGGAAGTCATAGCTATTTTTAAGCACTACTGTACTCTTTCATAATGAGTAGTATGAGTATTGAATTCATGTTCTTTTGCTGTAGCACTCAGGTAGTATAAATAAGTTTGAAAAGATTCCTACTTTCTTAATTGTTAACCGAGCTTGCTCAGCACATAAACTAACCTGATATCATTGATATAGTCCCTTTGAAGGAAGCCAATCCCTGTCATCCACCTTGAGCACTCACTTCACCTGCTACTGGTGCATAATGTCCACAAAAAGGCATTACAGGAATTTGCTAGCACTTCTTTGAGATCACCTTTTAAACATGTATGAGAACTCCAACTATCTGCAAGTATTGTCATCAGCAGCATTGTCTCTTCAACACTGGAACAAAACCCTGTACTTCCTACCTGATGGCAGAATACTACACCACCTGGACTGTGGTGTTTGGGAAACGTATCTCACCACCATCTCTCAAAGGGAATTTAGGGATGGGCAATAAGTGCTGGTTTTGCCATTAACCCTCATGCCTCATTTTTTTTTTTTTTTTTGAAAAATGTTTGAGAGTTTCACTGTCTAGGATCCCCTTTCATTGTACTTGTACAATAGTGGTAAGAGTTGTGCTGACTCAAGCACCAAACTATTTCTTTTCCAAGATGGTGTTTGCTTAATTGTGGAAATGGTGACGGAGTGATGTTGTCATTGGACTAGTTAATTAGAGAGCAAGGATAATGTTCTAGGTTTGAATCCTACCATGGCAGATAGTGAAATTTGATTACAATTAAGATATCTGGAATTAAAACCTGCTTTAATGGTGACTATGATTGTTGCAAAAGTCCATCTGATTCACTGCAATTCTTTAAGGCAGAAAACTTTGTCATCCTCAACTGGTCTCGTCTACATGTGACTTCAGATTCCCTTTCATGTGGTTTACTCTTAAATGCCCTCTGTAATGGCATTTGCCTAAATTTGGCAAGTCACTCAGTTGGTATTTAACTCCTACAAAATCCGATAAAACAAATTAGACCAAGATTAAAGGCTATAATAAAAATTCTCTGCTTAAAGAGCAATGTTAAGTTTAAATTCAGTGACTTTGCCTATATAGGCATCAGGTGACACAGGTTTCCTGACATTGGAACTGCTTTCACCATATGATCCAGTCACCCATTTTCATGAGCTTGCTGCCACATGCTCAGTCACCTCCTTCCCACACCAGATTTCCAACTTCTTTTGGACCTGCTACCAGACTCTGTGATGGTAGGACTAATACAAACTGTCTTTTGTGAGACCACCTATGGTGTTCCAATAAATCATGTTCTATCCGAGCAATGATCTATTGTGTCCCTGACTGTTCCTGCATTACAATATTGACTATGCTTGAAAAGTGCTGCATTGGTTACAGAGCTTTGAAACATCTAGTGGTTATGAAGAATGTGTTGTATAAATGCAACGTTTTTTTTTTTCTTAAAAATTCCCTTGTGTGTCATTCCTTCTTCTAGTGACAAATCATTCGTCCCATATGTACCAGGTCTGTCATGTTTATTTTCAGGTTCCTAATTTTTTTTCTTCAGCCAGTGATTCAACGTATGCTTTTAATTTTTGCCTGTACCTAGTTGTCCTTGAGAAAGTGGTAGTGAGCTGCCTTCTTGATCTGCTCCAGTCAATGTGCTATAGATAGACCCACAATGCCCTTAAGGAATTCCAGGATTTTGACTCAGCGACAGTGAAGGAACAATGATATATTTCCAAGTCAGGACAGTGAGTGGCTTTAAGGGAAAATTGCAAGTAAGGTGTTCCATGTATCTGCTGCCCTTGTCTTTTAGATGGTAAGGGTCATGGGTTTGGAAGATGCTGTCCAAGGACCTCTGGTGAATTTCTGGAATGCATCTTGTAACTCGTACACACTGCTGCTTATGGATGTCGTGCCAATCAAGCAGGCTGCCTTCTCCTGGATGGTATTAAGCTTCTTGAATTGTTGTTGGTGGTGCACCCATCCAGGCAAGTGGGGAGTATTCCATTACAATCCTGACATATACACCTTGTAGATGGTGGACAGGCTTTGGGGGAGTCAGGAGGTGAGTTACTAGCTAAAGTGTTCCTCGCCTCTAACCTGCGCTTGTAATCACTGCATTTATATGGCAAGTCCAGTTGAGTTTCTGGTCAACGGTAACCCCCTCAGGATGTTAATAATGGGATTCACTGAATGTAGCATCATTGAATATGAACCTGCAGTGGTTAGATTGTCTCTTCTTGTAGATGAGCATTCATAGAATCATAGATCATAGAAACCGTACAGTGTGGAAACAGGCCCTTCAGCCCAACAAGTCCACACTGACCATCTGAGACCAACCAGACCCATCCCCGTATGACCCACCTGATCTGCACATCCCTGAACACTACGGGGAATTTAGCATGGCCAACCCACCTAGCCTGCACATCGTTGGACTGTGGGAGGAAACCGGAGCACCTGAAGGAAACCCAGGCAGACACTGGGAGAATGTGCAAACTCCACACAGACAGTCGCCGGAGGGTGGAATCGAATCCAGGTCCCTGGCGCTGAGGCAGCAGTGCTAACCACTGAGTCACTGTGCTGCCTTACCTGGCATTTGTATGGTGCGAATGTTAGTTGCCATTAGTCAGCCCAACCTGGATACTGTCCAGATCTTGTTGCATTTAAATGTGGACTTCTTCTATTTAAGATGGTTTTTTTAATCTTCACCATTGTTAGTGCTTTTATATGGTAAAAAAATTTGAGTAATCATGAATAATTTGTAAGACTAATGCAAATAGAGCAACTAATATTTTCCTTATTCCCAGTAAATGTTTGGTAGACATTTGGATTCAGCCGGTTTGGATCCAGAAGATCATACTTCTGGAGCAAGTGGTACTTGAAACTCGACCTTCTGACCCAGTGTCAGGGACACTACTACTGCACCATGAGGCCCTACTAAATATTTTATAACCTTTCCTTGATTATCCAGAGACTTATTCCTAGGGTGGAGGTAGCTATTATGAGGGAGCATTGTTTTAAAGTGAGTGGAGGTAGATATAGAGGAGACGTCAGAGGTAGGTTCTTTACTCAGTGGTAGCTGCGTTGAATGCATTGCCAGAGAAGGGTAGTGGAGTCGGCCTTATTAGGGGCATTTATGCGTCTATTAGATAGGCTTATGGATGATAGTATAAGGTAGGGGTGGAGGTTAGGTAGACTTTAGATTTAGTGTAAAAATTCGGCACAATATCGTGGGCCGAAGGGCCTGTACTGTGCTGTACTGTTCTATGTTCTATCCTTCATGATTTGGCACTTCTCTGATTTCACGTAACTGAAAATGACTTTCTCATTGCTTCCACACTAATCTACAATCCTGTTTTTCTTTATCCTCTTGGCTAATTATAATTTGTCAATTCTGATCACTTTCAAAAAATGTACTAAGCAATGGCAGAGATAATCTGTGTTAGATCAGTTATAAATTGGTGAAAGTCTAATCTACTATAGTCTGATTCTTGCATCATTATATTTGCTCATAAAAATTCAAAAACCTTTGGACATAAGTTAAATCTGGGAATATCTTTAAGCAATCAGTGGGAATCTTTGCTCAATGCAAGAAGATTAAATGATCACCTACAGTGGCATTGAAGTTTATTCATGGGTTTGATATGATACGTATAGAGGAGATGTTTCCAATTGTGAAGGAGGCAAAAACAAGGACCCCTAATTACAGGACAGTCATCAGTTAAATTGAGGTGATTCTCTGTGTTCTGATTTATAAATACCCTTGATTTAACAGCTGATCTCTTTTTCTGGGGAATTCTGCATAGGTACTGACAAATTTGGCTTTGGATTTGGTGGCACTGGAAAGAAGTCCCATTGCAAACAGTTTGACAGCTACGGAGAGGTACATGCACTTTGATAATCCTTGTTATTACAATGAAAGTTGAATGTAATTCAGCATGGTGTGACTTTGTTTGTACATTACAGTTCTGTTCATGACTCTTTCCATGTTATTTTATAACTTTTTTTTTCAGGAATTTACCATGCATGATACCATTGGATGCTACATTGATCTTGACAAAGGAGATGTAAAGTTTTCAAAAAATGGTAAGCTTTCCCCAAAATGTTCTGCATTAGCTGCTCTTAATTCAAATGTGCTGGTTTAAAAGGGAATGTTAGTCTCTGGTGTAAGGTTTTTTTGGTTTCTATATTTATCCTACTGTTCAGTTTCACTAATCATTAACTTTTCATAATTTGGATGAATGTGACTGGCCATCTCTCATAATTAAACTTGTACGTTTACAAGTATATATTTGGATGATTTGACTGCTAATTTCTTTTCTTCCCCCTCATTCCCTTCCTAACCCTATCCCTCATTCCCTTTATATCTATGAAGGAGATTTGTGAATGGACAAGTATTGTAAGAGTCTCTATAGTGTAATGGCTAAAACTTAATGGATGACACAAGCCATTTGCTTTAACACAGATCATTTGATGCTCTCCGGTTATATCTCACTTGTAAAATAACTATTTATTGTTTATAAGAGTTTGTTTTTTTTCCCCAGGGAAAGACCTTGGTCGTGCCTTTGATATTCCTGCACACTTAAAGAACCAAGCCTTCTTTGCTGCTTGTGTTTTAAAGGTAATTTTCTCCATCATTTGAGTCAAATGTTATAACTAGCAAGTAGTCCTGATAACTAAAAATCTTTGTTATTGCATCCTAGAATGCTGAGCTTAAATTTAACTTTGGTGAGGAAGAATTCAAGTTCCCTCCAAAAGATGGTTTTACAGCACTAGACAAAGCTATCGATGGCCATGTTGTAAAGTCACCACATACTGGTACGTTAGAAGTAACGCCTTGAATCGGTTAACTCCTTAAAGTAATTCAGAAAATTAAAATGGTAGGTGATCTTTTTGCAATCCATTAATCTATGTTGGTAGACAAACAGGAGGCTGAAAGAACACAGCAAGCCAGGCAGCATCTGGAGGAAAGGAGAAGTCAATGTTTCGGGTATTACCCTTCTTCAGGACTGATTCTAGCATCTGCAGTTTTTTTTGTCTCTAACCAAATCTATGTTAGTAATCCAGTTGATAAAGCTTTGATAAATATATTCCTAATACCACCAGTTAGGCCATTTGGAAAGGGAGTTAGGAGTTTGTGACAGTTTGGTTAGGATAGTTGAATATAGCTGAAAATAAAATTTCAAAAATGATGTTCCATTAATATCCTGACATTACAGGAATATCATGGAACTGAAGAAGATATAAAGACAGTAAGCTATCCTGCCATCTGCCATTCCTATCTGGTCTAATCTACATGTGACTCCAGATTCACACCAATGTGGTTGACTCTT